TTAAGTCCTTTTTGTTTTATCTATATATGTGATGACGTAAGGTTGACATATAATATACGAATATGAAGTTTATAATTTCTGTCCCATATAAGTCTTCACAGCTCCATGGACATTGTCTATTGATATTTGCTTCCGCTAGCCTGTTATTTTGTTAATCTGATTCAGAGGCCTTCGGTAATCTTAAGATTACTGGCCGGTTATGAGGCTAAACCTATACGGGCAAGTTTGAGGTCGTGACATAGCACCATCAGCGTGGCGGATGCGGAGGAGAGAGGTAGAGCTCTAACAATAGAGATAATGGAAAAGACGCAAATGAGAGAAAGAGAGAGAGAAGAAGAGAGAGAGAGGGTTTGAAGAAATAAGGGTTGAGAAAAGAGAGGTGTATAAATGTATATAGGTAGTTTGGTCATTTTGCTAAGCATGTCCTTATGAACAAAATATTTTAGCGTGTGGAGTTTTGGACAAACAAAATCCAAATTTGAATTTATGAGCTAAGTGCCCTTGCTAAAATTGTTTTATACTTTGAGAATCTTGTACCTTTTAAAAAATTCGATTTTTATTCTCAAGATGTTTTTTATTTGGGTAAATAACATTGACACCTCCTCAAGTTTATGTTTAATACAGATACCCCATCATATTCGGGAAATTACATTCTCACCCTTGAGGTTAACAATTGCATTACAGAAACCCCCTACTGTCATATGGCCGTTAGGGCCATCAAAAGCATCTTGATGACATTAGCCAAAAAAAGTTTAATTGACTAAATTACCCTTTATGAGACTTATACATCTTGTTTATAATTACCAATATATCTTAAAAAAACTTTGATGCATGTCCAATCACAGCAAACACATCACCATTTCATTTGCATTTACATTTCATTTGCATGTAACAAATATAGCTGTTGAACACAGGTAGTCGTTGGAAGCTGCTTATAAAAGGCAAATGAATCTCAATGAAACGCATTGAGAAAAACAGAGGAATTGAAAAAAAAAAAGAGTAAAGCAAAAAAAGAGGATACATGAGTTCAATATTTTCATCCTTTATTTTCATAAAGTACATTACCCAAAGTGCTGATAATAGTTAATGCCCATATGGCCAAAAATAAATTAGCATACATAATCATGTTCCCCTTCACAAAACACATAATGGGACATCTTCCTAATTTAGAGAAATATATCATGTTCCCCTTTACAAGAATATATACAAAAATATGCTATATTATCCTCATTTACAAAAATATACCATATTACCTACACAAAAATATATCATATAATTTGTCTTGGAACATTTCTTATTCCATCTCAGATGGCATGCTGCATAATTTCTAACCGTCTAATTCAAATAACAAGAATAAACAAAATTAGTTTTGTAACAAGAATACAATAACAAATAGACTAACAAGATTACAATTAATTATTACAAGAGCAATACCTAAGCCATATACCATGTGCAAGACATACTTCATTTATTAGGTTGCACTCCAGACTACCTTCCATCTTACAATATCACATTAAATAAAAATATAATGACACTAAATAAGTAATGTTTCAATGCATTCAATAGTCAAGTTCATAATGTATGTGATACTTACATGTTGTCCCCCTATCACTGTTGAAGTAGAACCTCTACCACTTACACCTCTTCCCGTTAGAATTCCATCATTTGCACCTCTACTACTACCTGTGCAACTGCCACCAACATCACTCACTCTAATAGAAACTACCTTTCTTAGCCTTGAACCTTTTCCACTTTCTTGGCTTATTGTAACCTTACTTGTTTGCCTTATTGTAGAAACACTTGAACCACTAATTGAGATCTAGGGTTTGGAGAGTTTTAGAGAAAGAGAGATATATAGAAAATGATTCAAAATGCTTCTTTCACATACTGTTATACGCGCAGTCCGCTCGAGTATGGAAAGCCCCGCTTGAGCGTCGGACACAAAGTTTCGCTTAAGCATCAAAAGTGACGCTTGAGCGTAAAATACGCTCTTCTAGAAGTTTCGCAGATGAAGGTTCCCGCTCGAGCACGAGACTGAATGCTCGAACGTCCAATGCACTTTCCCAGTATTTGCAGAGCTATAGAAGAAAGTTATAACGACTCGGATTTTAGATTCATATTGGATTGATGTATAGTGGTACCTGTCACCTTAAAACTTGTATGGTTGTTGGACTCTTGATATTGATGGGTTGGCAAGTAAACTTTAAATATTATAATTGAGGACCATTGGATGATGTTTGGAACCTTGATTGAAGCCTTAACAAGATATATAGATAAGATTAGATAAAAAGTCCCAAATTTGAGTTTGAATTTTTGACCAGCCGTCACTCTTTTGCCCTTTTCTCCTTCCATACTTAGAATTTGAATGTGAGGTTTGAACCATTGGAAAGCTTATTTCCGGGCTTCAATTTGGACACAAGAACGACCTAGAACGGAGTCCCGATGAGAGAGTTATACCCGTTTGAATTATTTTGTTAATCTGATTCAGAGGCCTTTGGTAATCTTCAGATTACTGGCCGGTTATGAGGCTAAACCTATAGGGGCAAGTTTGAGGTCGTGACATAGCACCATCAGCGTGGTGGATGCGGATGAGAGAGGTAGAGCTCTAACAATAGAGATAATGGAAAAGACGCAAATGAGAGAAAGAGAGAGAGAAGAAGAGAGAGAGAGGGTTTGAAGAAATAAGGGTTGAGAAAAGAGAGGTGTATAAATGTATATAGGTAGTTTGGTCATTTTTCTAAGCATGTCCTTATGAACAAAATATTTTAGCGTGTGGAGTTTTGGACAAACAAAATCCAATTTGAATTTATGAGCTAAGTGCCCTTGCTAAAATTGTTTTATACTTTGAGAATCTTGTACCTTTAAAAAAATTCCATTTTTATTCTCAAGATGTTTTTTATTTGGGTAAATAACATTGACACCCCCTTAGGTTTATGTTTAATACAGATACCCCATCATATTCGGGAAATTACATTATCATCCTTGAGGTTAACAATTGCATTACAGAAACCCCTACTGTCATATGGCCGTTAGGGCCATCAAAAGCATCTTGATGACATTAGTCAAAAAAAGTTTAATTGACTAAATTACCCTTTGTGAGACCTGTACATCTTGTTTATAATTACCGATATATCTTAAAAGGACTCTGATGCATGTCCAATCACAGCAAACACATCACAATTTTATTTGCATTTACATTTTATTTGCATGTAACAAATATAGCTGTTGAACACAGGTAGTCGTTGGAAGCTGCTTATAAAAGGCAAATGAATCTCAATGAAACTCATTGAGAAAAACAGAGGAATTGAAAAAAAAAAAAAGAGTAAAGCAAAAAAAGAGGATACATGAGTTCAATATTTTCATCCTTTATTTTCACAAAGTACATTACCCAAAGTGCTGATAATAGTTAATGCCCATATGGCCAAAAATAAATGAGCATACATAATCATGTTCCCCTTCACAAAATACATAATGGGACGTCTTCCTAATTTAGAGAAATATATGAATATATACAAAAATATACTATATTATCCATATTTACAAAAATATACCATATTACCTACACAAAAATATATCATATAATTTGGCTTGGAACATTTCTTATTCCATCTCAGATGTCATGCTGCATAATTCCGTCTAATTCAAATAACAAGAATAAACAAAATTAGTTTTGTAACAAGAATACAATAACAAATAGACTAACAAAATTACAATTAATTATTACAAGAGCAATACCTAAGCCAAATACCATGCGCAAGACATACTCCATTTATTAGGTTGCACTCCAGACTACCTTCCATCTTACAATATCACATTAAATAAAAATATAATGACACTAAATAAGTAATGTTTCAATGCATTCAATAGTCAAGTTCATAATGTATGTGATACTTACATGTTGTCCCCCTACCACTGTTGAAGTAGAACCTCTACCACTTACACCTCTTCCCGTTAGAATTCCATCACTTGCACCTCTACTACTACCTGTGCAATTGCCACCAACATCACTCCCTCTAATAGAAACTACCCTTCTTGGCCTTGAACCTTTTCCACTTTCTTGGCTTATTGTAACCCTACTTGTTTGCCCTATTGTAGAAACCCTTGAACCACTAATTGAGATCTAGGGTTTGGAGAGTTTTAGAGAGAGAGATATATATAGAAAATGATTCAAAATGCTTCTTTCACATACTGTTATACGCGCAGCCCGCCCGAGTATGGAAAGCCCCGTTTGAGCGTCGGACACAAAGTTTCACTTAAGCATCAAAAGTGACGCTCGAGCGTAGAATACGCTCTTCTAGAAGTTTCGCAGATGAAGGTTCCCGCTCGAGCACGAGACTGGACGCTCGAACGTCCAATGCACTTTCCCAGTATTTGCAGAGCTATAGAAGAAAGTACTGAGGGTTGTCGATTCCCGCTCGAGCACTGGAATTGCCGCTCGAGCGGAGGAGCAAAATTTGTGAATCAACCAGGATCGTTATAGAGAGAGAGAGAGACAAAGACAGATAAAAGGAAGAAAGATTTGAACAGAAAAAAAGAAAAAAATTTGAATAGATAGGGTTTGGTATGGATTAGTATTTCGATAGAAAAAAAAGTACACAATAAAAAAAAATTGAATAGATAAGTAAAAAATTCAACTAGTAGTTATACTTAAAAGAACTTAAACATATAGAAATTAATTTGAACAGATAGTTATAATAAAAAAAAGTCAACAGATAAAAAAATTAAAGGATACAATTAAAAACAAAATATCTTTTAAAACCAACAAAAAGATTTCTCACTAAATTATTTTACAAAAGTGGACCTCTCATTAACAAAAAAATATCTATTAAACCTAATACCTTATAACGTCTATAAATTCAACAAAAAAAAAAAAAATATTCACCTAAAAAAGGTATTTACAACGCATTTTCAGAATTAATTTTTTAGGCAACCTAATATTTTGATTTTGTAAAAAAAAAAAAACAAAAACCCTTTCCCCGTCACCTGCTGTTTGTTCAAAACCTAATAAATTCGAAAGCGCCAAGGAAAAGTGGGAGGGAGGTCGGCGATGTCTCTCTCTCTGTCTCGACGCCATAAACTCTTTGAATACACACTATTTACTCATTTCACACCACATTTGATTTTTTTATTTTTCGCTCAATACACACCATCAATTTTTCAATATTCCCAAACTATCCCCGTCTTCTCCAATCACAACCCTAACTCCACCCTGTCGCCGCCATCAGCAGCGAGCCGCCAGTCGCCATTCCTACTCAGCCCTTCAGGTCGCCAGCTCCTTTCGTCGCCTCCCTCTCGCCACCTGTCACAGCCCTCCTCGTGCACCTTCTCTTTTCCCTTCTTATTCGAGTCTACACTTGTTCTCTACTTCTGACCGTCGTCATCAGCCATAGCCACCAAGATCTGCTTTCCTAGTAAAATTGCAGCCCCTCACCGCTGTGACGCACTTCTGCCACAACCCTCATCCATCGTGACCCCCAAATCGCATAAAGAGAGAGATCCGTTGTTGCTCGAAAGAGAGAGATCCGCCGCAAGATAGAGGGACAGATTAGGGTTTCACGGTGAAGAAGGAAGAGGAGGAGGAGGAGGAGAATGATGTGGAAGACTGGAGGCGTGACGAGGCTTGAGGATGAAAGAGGTGGAGTCACAAGAAGGATGAAGAAGGGCGAGGGAGCGGCGTCGGCGCTGATTCGAGAGCGGAGGCTTGTGGATTGCAGTGGTGGTGTTTAGGTGTGTATGAGAAATTAGGGTTTAAGATTTGTCTAAGAAAGTAATTTAACTGAGGGACACAATTGTAATAAAAAAAACTGAGAAACGGTGCGTAGTGAGTAAATGAGTGGTGTGTAAATAGAGTTACCCCTTGTTTTCCAAAACCGTCACATTGCCGTCTCAATTTGGAACTTGAGAAAAAGAAAAGTAGGTTCTTTACAGTTTTATGTTTTTATTTTCTGTTTTTCTCTATGAATATGCGTAAATGTTATGCGTGCGTATATATAAACACATATATATTTTTGAATATATAGTAAGAGAGCTAGAGTGTTCAATCAAATCTCCACTGAAATTCTTCAAAAAGCAGATGGAAAACAATCTGTTGAACATTTTGGGCAGTGGCGATGGGAGGTTCTGCGTTGGGTTTTGTAAAGCGCCAAGGAGTTTTTTTTTTTTTGGAATCCCATTCGCTTTATAATAGAGGGATTGCATAATGGGGCAAGTATTCATGGAATGCGTAACAGTAATCTCATGTGCGTCCCCATTTGCCTTTTTCTTTATGTATCTATGTGTAAATATATATATATAAATATATTTATATTTATATTTATATTTATGTATTTTCACAAAAGTAAATTCACTACCTTGTTTCTTATCATATTAATCTTGGTTATCTGAATTCTTGTGGGGCCCTTTTCCAAATACAGGGTGACCGAGGAACTATCTTTGAATGAGATGAAAATAGATTAAATTTCTAGTTCATCTATCAACACATTCTAATGTAAATTTTACTTTCATATCTTAATGCAATTTATGTGTTTATCTTGAAAGTCATAAGCTTCTACTACTAGTGAATTCGTATTTTATTCTCTGTTCCTATTTGTTTTTGGAAGTGGAGGCTTTGATTCTCTTCTTCCATAAGCCAATTATGTATTTGTTTTTGAAAAATGTTATACTTTTCATTTATTTCCCGCCCTCTTCATCCATAGTAACCTTTAAATGTTTTCTAAGCTGAGTTTGTAGATCAATGATGCAATGATATAGGACACAATTGTGTGAACACCACTGTTTAAACCTGTGTGCTTTATTATTATAAAAAAACACAAAAACCAGTCTTTTTTTAAAGGAGAGGATTGGTTACTGTGATTGGTCCACATATTCTTCATAGTTAGATGCAATTGGAAACCATAAGAGGCTAAAAGCTATATGCATGACTCATATTTGTAGAAAATGATGGCCCAAGCAAATAGAACTTGTTTGAGAAATTTGTTTGTCTAATAAACCACTAATATGTCTTACAAACAGCCTAGTATTGAAGAAGCTGATTTCATAATCAGAAAGAAAGTTATCAAGAAAGTTGTACTAATAATTTTTTCTTTTTTTGCTTGCCTATAATTGGTTTGACATTCATGATCACAGTGACGAAGAGAAATTATTATTACTTATTTATTTGTTTGTTTTTTTGCCGCTCAGAAAATCTGTCACATGTGAAGATAAGACTTCACAACCAGTAACACTGTTTGTTCAGAAGCTAAGCTTGCTAACTCCACCACACCGTTTGTGTCTATTATTGTTGTCATTTATTTGTCATGTATTTTAGTTGATCTTAATATGGTAATTTTATTTTTCTTCAGGGTGCAGTTCTTTGGAGATGCTTGTAGAGTGGTTGATTACCATTTCATCTATGATGGAAAAACTGGTAGATTTCTTCGCCAGTGCTACGTTCAGTTTGAGACTAGGGAAATAGGAGTGCAGGTATATCTGCTCCCTTTCTTCTTTTTTTTTTTTTTTTTCGCCTGGATGTCGTGGTTAATATCTGATAAATCAATCTTTTGGATGTTGGGAAGTGGCACGTTGTTAGTTGATTAGTTGTTTGATTGTTAGAATGTATTATGAAGTATATCATCTATTTGGTTCTGTAATTGTTAATTTATCTATTATCCTCTTAGGGCTCACACTCCCAGTACTTTTATGTGCAAATATCATGTCTTATCCTTGAGAGGCTGAATTGTGTAGACCACATACAATTAATTAGAACACATCATATATAGAAAACATAACTTTTATTGTTGAGTATAGGAATATAGGTCCGCTTGTGATGCGTGGCACCCCTTAGCCGTGTGTCATTGGCCGATTCTTTCGAGCATGCAGTAGAATAACTTTTTGTTTGTGTGCCACTTGAACTCCACCAAACTCAAGCCTGACTGACTCTCATCTTGACCATTGAGGGTTTAATTGTCACCCGTCTTGTCAAATATAGGCCCCATGCTTTGTCAATTGAGAGCAACTCCACAAAGGAAGCTTCAGCTTTGAGTGCCACAAGTAGACATGACATCTCAAGTGCACCAAGCATGGCTCATGTTGCTTCATCGCACCAAGCTTTCCCATGATCAAGGTGCTTGCCCAATCGAGGCTTGTGTTAGTCAAAGCATTCCATGCCAGCATTGCACGCAACTGACCCAACACCATGTTGCCTAACTGTGCATTGATGTAGCACCCTTAACCTAACTGATAAGCTATCTCGCTTCTGTTTAGGGTTTCTCATTGCGTTCGTCTCGGATACCCACAGATGACTGAGGTCTCATGCACGGCCAAAACTTGAAAACTGAAATGAATGGCTAGGATGCACTCAAGATTTGATCTCACAACAAAACTTTAAGCACACCATTGATCTACTTTTGATGGAAAAAATCTAGGACCATTGTCTGGTCTCTTAGATTTTCCTTAACAAAATATATATTGGTAATTCAACTTTGCAAGTTGAACCACTACACTACCAATCACTACGGTGGTGTGCTCTTCTGTGAATGCCTCAGCGGCAACCATCATGCTAGTTCAGAGATCACCCCTGATGTAGATCACTCTATGTTGACTACAACCTGGATCCCATTCACCGAGATCACTCACAAAGTCTACACTGGTAGCTTTAGGGTTCACAATCCAAGCCCATGACTTTCTTTCTTTGGAAATTTTTCTATATCACTTACTTTTTATCGTAGTTTTTTTAGATGGGTATAGCACTATGTAATGGTGGCTTGGTGCTTTGGGTTAGTGATCCATGGGGTTGAAGAAGGTAGATTTTTGCTGGTCAGTAGTTGGTGTTTGTTAAACAATAGTTGTGTGTGCAAAATATGGGGGTGGCGTCTGATGGTGAATTTGGAGATGTGGCTACTGATTATGTAAGGAAGATGGACGGTAGGTTTGGGCTTGCAAAGGTTCATGATAAGGTTTTGTGGGCATTTGTTGTTTAGAAATTGATTGTTTGGATGCAAAGATAAAGATAATTTGTGTTTGTTTTGTCACGAATAGTGTCGTAGAAATTTGATTTTGTAAAGTGACGCAAGTATAATTGCACATCACTTTTAATCTCAATTAACACAACTCAAATAGGGAAGGTGATGCGGGATGTTCATGGATTCTCATGTAGACTTTATTTACAATTTTGTGATTTTATTTGTCTTTAATACTTTATTTATTTATTTATAGTTCATTTAAACCTTAATATATTTAATTTATTTATTTATTAAGGGGTTCTAGTTACCAAATAATATATTATGATTTAGTTTCCTATTTTGAATTAGGGTTTCCTGCATTGCTTATATATATGGTTTTATGTAATATTTTTAGGTTAGCTTTAAATTATTGATATTGAGTAGAGTTTTAAGTATCAACCATTATGTATGGTATTGACTTCATTGTAATGGGATTTTGGCATTTCGATACTATTATTCACTTATATATTAGTTGTACTATCTGTTGCTCTTTGATATAGACCAATAGATGACTGTATTACTGATATCGATACATATCCTGATACCATTATTATATGATATTGAGTAAAAGGTTGTGGCTGTTTGTGAGATTATTACGATTTTGACCCTTGTGTTCTTTTTCTTCTCTTTTGATTCTTTTTAAAAGTTTGATATTCTCTTTAGATGAATTCTCCATAAATTTTAGTTTTGGAATAAGTTAGATTGCTGAACGGATTTCTTAATAGCTGTTCGGCATCAATTGGTATCAGAGCCCAATTTTGATCCACTTTGCTCTGTTCAATTGGTGTGATTTGTCTTCTTTATATGAACTCATCAATTCGAACCAAAATCATTATTTAAAAAATAAAATAATATCTTCTCTCCCATTAGCTATGTTTGTTCACCAATGTCGAGTTATACTCTAAATTTGAGATCCCTATCATGAGCACCATTAGATGAAGAAAGATATGAAAGAGATGAATAAATGACTTAGATGAAAGCAATTTTGAACAAATTCTTAGTCCATTTTTTGGGGATAACTTTTGCAATTCCTAAAGGGTGTTGTGACGATCAAGTGGAAGTTTATTTTGAATAAATTGTTAGTATTTATTTATTTATTTATTTTTGTTTGTGTGTGTGGAGAAACTTTAGAAATTATTCAAGGGAATTGTGACGATCAAGTGGACGTTGTTGATCAAGCAGTTTCTAAGTATGAGGAACCTGATATTATTTTGGAAAAACTTTCAGAAGTCTAAGATGTTAAGGTTGAAATGGAAGAAAATGTCATGTAGAATACGATATGAATTTACCAAAAGAGGAGCTTCCTAGTAAACAACCACTAATTGTTTTTTTGATCAAACTAGATCGGATTGGTTTTTTTGGCATTGAAACTTTCCTTTGTCTATTCAATCTGTAATGACTCAGAATTTTTTTTTAAAAACTTGGTCCTTGGGCCGAATGCCCAATGATATAATCTTCTCTAATATTATTTTTTATTTCTTCCTATAGCCATTTCAAGTAAATGGCCTTTGATAGGGCCGCGTGGAGAAGGATTCATGTAGCAGACCTCATTTGATGGGACTTAAGGCTTGGCTTAGTTTGGTTTGGTTTGGTTATAGCCATTTCAAGTAAATATAGCATGACGTGGAGTAGAAATAGCCTCTCTTTTTTTTCCTAAGATGTAGTACTCAGGAATCAGGACCACAAAAATTGAGTAATAACTGCTATTGGGAGGCAACTAAAGTTCATATATTTTTCAGAATAATAGAGAGTCAGTTTTAAGTTCACTTTGAAGTAATGAAACCCAATCACAATCACTGCTATCTTGTTTCTGGGGCTGCGATCAGAATCTGATACCTGCTAAGAGGCTACATAGAGCCACTTGGAAACACCATCTGCAGCAGATAAACACAGATTTCTCTAAAAATCGGTATTATCAATTTATCATATTCATTTATTTAGGATCCCTCAAGTTCCAGTAGAAATTGTTATCTCAAATCTAAGTTGTAAACATGCCCACAATACCTTATGTTAAAACACTACGAAAAAAGATGAGATCAATGGAAAAAAATTATCGTGCGTACTCATGTACATGTGAAACTAGCAAAGAGGCCATTCAAAAAAAGTTTTCCTCATTCAAAGAATCTACCAAAGCTTTGAAGGTTCTGTTAATCAACATTCAAAAGAATGAGAACAAATTGATTCCCAAACTTCTGACAATGGATAGTAGTGGAAGATACTCACGAGTCACGAGTTAAATATATGATTGGGCCTAAAAAAATGCTTGCATTTCTACTGGATAATAAGTGAGGAGAGGATGTCAAAGGCAAAAAGTACATCTGCATAGGCCATAGCTGAATTCAATATGTGGGAGTTAAGGCTTTGTCGAGTTGGATGGCAAATCAAAATGAATTTCAATTGAGGTCTGAGTGAGAATTTAATTTAAGACCCATTACTTAAAATCAATTTAATTTGAATTTGTTTATTACTCTTGTTTGACTGTTTGGTCTTTTTAATTATGTGATTGGTAAGTTGAATTTATCGTGCGTTAGTGAAAAATTATATATTTTTGTAGTAAGCAAGAGATTTTATTTTGTGGTGTATAAAAATATTATATTTTATGATGAGATAAAATTATATCATTTTTTAATTTGTGATATAAATTTTATGATATTATTACAAATATGTCTATATATGGGCATCTTGTCTGCAGTCCGCAAAGTGAATTGGACGTTGCTGTTGGGCCCGTGGGGCTCACCACGGGTCTTGTTTCGATAATCCAAATCGTTCAATGTGTAGAGCTCGTCGATTACTTTATCCTTATAGAAATTCAAATTGATCGGATATCGATAGCTACTTGATCGGATCAGATTTTTGTTAACAATTTATTTTGAAAATTATATTTACCGTTGATAGAAATTTGATTCGATCAAGTAGTTATCAATATTTGATCAATGTGATTTTTTATAGAGATAAAGTACTCAACGAGTTCTACACATTGAATGGTTCAAATTATCGAAATAGGGCCTGTGGTGGGCCTCCATGGGCCCAACAACACACTCCAGTCCAACCACGGACTAGAGAGAAGCCTAGCCCTTTAAATATTTATATATAATTTTTGGAGAAAGAGAACAATCCACATGGGGTTGTCTCCTCCCATCCCTCCTCATTTCCCTTTTTCCCCTCCTTTATCTTCACTTTCCCAACTTTTCATTTCTTTGACTTCTTGATCCTGCAGAGAAGAGAGGAGAGGCTCCGTCTCTCTCTCAAACATTTGAACAAATGATTTGGTTCACATTTTGAAAGATCGGAGCTAGATTGGGTTAGATTTTGGAAAAGTTTTGTAAATGAAAGTCGGAGAGCTTGTTGTACTTTTTGCAATGGTAGTCTCAGATCAAAAATCCGACGAGATTTACGTCCTAGATCTGCTCCTCTTCATTATTTGAGGTAGGGACTTTCTTCATGTTATTTATGTAAATCCATGTTAGGGATAGTTTGAGAAAATATATCATTATAGGAGGTATTACATATATATTATTCTCAGATTTTTGTTTGGATAATTTTTGGAAGAAAATTATGTTGAAATGTTGATAATATTGGTATTCTGAAATTGATTTGGAAAAATCATCTTGTGGTAGTAATTTTTGTTAAAAAATGCGAATACAAATTTAATAGTTGTATGCTTTGTATCTATATCATATTATGATTAGATAATTTATTTTGAGAAAAATAATGTTGAAATATTCTCTCATCTTTGATTTTTGAATTTACTTTTGAGAAAAATAAATTGATGTTGATGAATATTGTGTAAATTGTTTAGCTGGAATTATAGAGTTATTTTTGGATAAAAATTCTAAAATTGTTGTATTCATGATATTTTATGAATGGTGATATATTGATGATTAAATTTTGTTCACTTTTGTGAAATGAAAATATGAAATGTGGACTTTTGAACTCCCAACCTTGGAAAGGTTACTCTTCGGCATATTTCATGATTTTTGATGTAAATATCATGTAATTAGTTAATTTTAGAAAAGTTGTGAAATTGTTATTTGTAGAGAATTTAGGAAAAATTAACTATTTAAGTTGCTTGGTATGAAATATGGTTATTTTTGAAAGATGAAACATGTGAAGTTATGTTTGGTATTATTGATTTGGCAAATTTTGAATACAATGAACTTATTAATTTGGTGGATTAAATTAGTTTGGTTAATATTTTATATCCTTAGTAATTAAAAGTGTGTTATTGGGTTTATTTTCTAACTTTTAATATTATGAGATTAAAAATGGTAATGTTGACCAAGTATGAGATTGGAGAAAATAAGTGAGATTAAGGCCTCGTTTGGGGACTACATATTTTAGCCAAAAAGTCAAAAAGCCATTATAAGTTGTTTCATGAAACAAAGTTGAACTAAGATTATTAGTTAAGTTGATGTGATTTGGTATTTGGTCATTAGTTTCACTAGTTGAGTTATGTTATTATAAAAATTTCATACCTCAAATTGATATATGAGATATTTGATTTGTAAATTGAGAGTTTGGTTAAATTGGGGATTGGTTACCTATAATCTGTCTATTAAATTTGTTTTCTGTATAAAAAAATTGCATGTGGGTATCTGAAAGTGAGAAAGCCCCAATTTGTGAAAAGTCCTAAATGTTAATGTTTTGGGAGTTGTTGGATTATTGGGAAAAGATTTTGTTTGGTTTTAGAATTGAGGGTTTGATTGGAAAACACATATTAAACATTTGGAATATGGAGTATTGGTTACTCTTTGAAATGTTGAGTTTGATTATATAAGTTTTGAAAATTTGTCTTTAAAATATCGAATATGGATTGTTTCCAAGTGTTGGGAATCATGGGGTATTTCAAGTTATAGTTGTATGTTGGATTGTATATTCATATTGTTATCTTTTAATTAATGTATTAAAGATAATTGTTTTGGCTATCGGTGGAGGATAGTATTGATTGTTGTAGAACTTGCATGAGACCCAAGTTGATTGAAACTAATTCACTCATGCATTGCATCTATTCAAATGTTTTATACTCATGCATTGAAATGTTTATTTTGAGAAAAATGGGTGAATACCATGGTGAATCTGGTTAGGGGGGTGTGGGTTGTGGTACTTAAGATGACTTGTGTGTCCATGGTGAAAGTCTAGCAAACCGCGCGGTTAGGTGCCGATCCTCCCAGATGGTACCGGTAAAATGGCTTTTAGTAGTGCTTGTATAGCCCAGTGTTTTTAAAGGCTCAAGGCGCACTAAGGCGCCGAAGGTCTCTTGGAGCCTAGGCACGAGGCGCAAGGCGAGGCGCGGGCTTTATTGAAGTAAGGCGCACAGTATTCGTAAAAAATAGAAAAATTAATATAGACTAATCATTCATAGTACTAAGACAATTTTTTAAAAAATAAAAAGTAATCAAGATTCAAGACAAAATATAGAATAATTCTCAAAGCCATGAAAGTGCATATTACATAACATTTCAATTTTTAAAGATCAAATAATCCACATTCAATAAAATAAAAACATAAACACTAAACATCTAAAACATAAATATCCAACAAATACTAATATACGTCTTAACACTTAAAAACATCAATATCAAAAGAAAGAGTAGGTTAGGTCGGTGTCAGTCAATCATCATCCTCAACATCAATGGCAAGCAAACTATCATCCTTCTTTTTCCATCAAGTTGATTTGTATTCCCTCAACAATCTTCCTCCTCTGTGGTATACGAGCCCGCTTCCTCTTCATCTATAATTGAAGTGGAGTCAATGTTGATGATTTAGATATCCTGGTTGTGCTTTGAGCGTGAATTTGTTGCATCTACTTGCATGGCTATTTCTTCTATCTCCGAAGCTCTAGCAACAAGTGGCCCAACGTCAAGCCATCATCATCATTCAACACAAAGCTCATTATCTCATCTGATTCTCCATCCACTCCCAAGCAACCACTCATTGCTTTCATCAATATTTTGCAAAGATATGGGATCAAGAGTGTTGCGCATGTCTACCTAAATCTCAATGTTCT